AAATAAGGGCTCGACTGTCTTACTTGACGCAGTATAATTTTTGAAACTAACATCTGTTTTCCACATTTAATTTTCAAAGCGTCAAGTTCTTCAGTTACAACATCAAGTTGTCTTTTAATATGATCATACAGTTCACATTTTTCACTATATTCTGTTTGAATTCTCTTAAAGTCCTTTATTTTTGTTTCTAACTGGGCTTTAAGAGGTTTTTGTCCCTTCCTAAGCTGATAGCCCTCATATCTAAGGTCCTCTACTTCTCTACGTAATAATTGAATTTCATCATGAAGAAGTTTAACATATTCATTACATGCCTGAGAACAAGACGGTAAATTTACCTCACATTTCCTGGGCTCGGAAGTAGAAGACACCATCAGAGCAAACTGCAGCTCCATCATTTCTGCTTCAGGGTCAGCTGCATCATTCTTCAAGGAAGCATCATCAATCTGAGCTAGGTGAGCATTTTCTGGCCCTGAAATGTTCAAAGCCGGAATTTGATCCTCCCAGTCAAAAGACTGAGCGACCATAGCAGTTTCAACATTAACCGCACCACCTGCACGATTGTTTCCCACTGCAACCATCGTCCTGTTGTTGTTCGTCCTACGATCTGGCTTTGGACACTCACGAGCAAAATGACCCGGCTCGTGGTAGTTGAAACATCACAGCATGCCCTTGTTGAATCCCACCTTCTTGTCAGCATTCATGCCCCAGTTGCTCTTCCCTGTCTTCTTAGCAAACTGCTTGGCCCTGAAAACAACCATAGCAATCTGCCATGTGATGTCCATCTCTTCCACGTCTTTAGGATGAATCTGATCCAGGTCAGCAAATGACAGCTGAGGTGGAAGCTCTCCAGCTACAAAAGCATTGTAGCAGTTAACAAGCCCAGTGGCTAGAGCCAGATTTTCATCAGTGTCTTTCGTGTTTGAGGAAGAGGCTACAACTGGCACATTTGGATGGGGAACAGCTTGTGGAGTGACAAATGGCTGGCTTTGAGAGTGAGGAATGGATGATGCAGCAGCAAAGGTTTGAATCTGAGGTTGTTGAGCAGCAAAAGCTTGACCTGAGGAAGTCATGATTGATGAGAGAGCATTGTTGGATGAGATTCCAAGGTTTGCAGTAGAGTACGAGTTCACATGGTTTATTTCTCTCTGTTTGTCATCAATATCACAAGCTTTGATGATCGCCATGATTTCAGCAAGTGTGAGGCGATTTAGATCCTTGGTCTTCTTAATCACAGCAACATTCATGTCCCATGATCTGGGAAGAGCATTCAGAAGCTTCTTGTTAATTTCTGACTTGTTCAAGAAAATCCCATATATGTTCATGTCAGTGGTGAGAGTTGTGAACCGCTGCAGCTGAGCCTCAAGAGTCTCTCCTGGAATGTAGTTGAACATATTGAACTTTTGTCTCAACATGTCCTGGTGACTCTCCTTCATATCTTCATTGCCCTCATATACCTCAATTAGGGCTTCCCACAAATCCTTAGCTGAAGTGTACTCTCGGAACCCTTGAGCAATATCAGGAGATAATGCCATGGTTAGAGTGGCTAAAGCCCTTTCCTGCTCTTCAACTTTCTCAAACTCCTCATCAGTGTAGTTTTCAACAGCCTTGTCAATCACTTGGCCTCCGACTGTCATAGTGATTCTAACAGGGCCTCTAAGAATGCTTCTCCAGACTTTGAAATCCTTCATTTTAATATATTTTTCAATTCTGTACTTCCACTCAGGAAAACCATCTGCAGACATTAATCTTGGAATACGCGTAGTAGTGCCCATGACAGTATCAAGTTCGTGAAAATGATTTTGAATTTGAGATTCCATTTAAAATTAAAGCAGATTGAAGTCACAAAAGAGTTTAAGGTTGATGATGATTACAACCGTAAACTGGGTTTACGGTTGAAGAGTTTACGACCGTAAACTTGGTTTACGGTTTAAGTGATTACGACCGTAAACTGGGTTTACGGTTGAGCTGTTTACGACCGTAAACTACGTTTACGGTTGATGAGTTTACGGTTTGTACGTTTACGGTTAATGAAGCTTGGTTTACGGTTTTTGAAGATTCACAGTTTACGGTTGTTGAAGATCTTGAGTTTACAACCGTAAAAAGGGTTTACGGTTGGCAGTAAACTCCCAGAAAGCCTTCAAAAACACGTTTTTGCAGTAGATTCAGTTCCTTTAACCACTAAAACACTAAAAACCTATCTTCGAACAATAAGAATATCAGTTTAAGCACCCCAAATCTCGATTGAATGAAGCTTTGACACCGGTTTTTGCTCTGATACCAATTGTAAAGTCCTGAAAAGGATCTTTACCAATGATCAAGCAACAAACAATCATAGATAGAAGAATAAGAAGAAAAGAAATCGAGCTTGCACACGTTTATATTCAGAAAAACGTCAGGTACAACTCGATGGAACACTATGTAAACGCAATGGCATCAAAAAACCTTTACAATGACCTACACCTATGCTATTTATACTAGACATGACCGCAAACAGGGTTTACGACCGTAAACTGGGTTTACGGCCGTAAACGTGTTTACAGCCATAAACTCTGTTTACGGTCGCAAACATATTTTCTGACCAAAGACACATAAACAACTTACAAACTGTATTACAGACTCCTACTGAACAAAATACAATGAAAGCCTAGACCAAACCATTAACTGGACCCTTCAAGACCTTCCGGTATGGTTGCCACGAACGAGGTCGTGGTCTAGTTAGCCACGCACAACGGTTGTGCACACCATCCCGGTGGCTCGTGGTGGGTCATGGTCATCACCCTTCGTGCTTCGGACAATGATTTTAATCGCCTAACGACTACTTTCAATTTCTTCCCTTAAATCTCGTTTGACCACCTAACGACTACTTTCAATTTCTTTTTCTTCCTTCAATATTTATCTATAAATATTACCACTCATCTTCTTAATTTTCACACATTTCTTCTCCCTTTAATCATCATACATTTTTGTTGTTTGATCTTCTAAAAACCATGCCTTCCAAAAATAAGAAATGGTAAGAAGAGGAAGAAGAGAAATTAGCACAAGTATGAGTGACGGTTTCGGAAGAAGCCGCTGGTCAAACGTCTGGTTCTTTTTCGAGAAATGTTGAAATTGTTTTCCATGGTTTAATGGGTTGTGCAATTCGAAATGTTGATGAAATATGCTCGAAGTGGCGCGATATGAGGACCAAATGTTCTGAGTTCAATGGAATTTACAACTTTGTTATAAACAAAGTACACGAAACCGATATTGATCCGGTTATTGTGGCCATGGAGCAATATGAAAACACAAATCATAAAGGTTTTGAACATATCAAAGCTTGACAAAAGTTGAAGAATTTCCCAAAATGGAATAACCTTGCTGAAAACACAAATAAGAAGTTTGGTATTTTTAGGTTTTTAATTTTTAATGTTATTTTTTTTATTTTAACTAATGTAAATTTTATTTTTAATGTTATTTTTATTTTTTTTTATTTTAATTAACGTAGTTTTTATTTAATGTAATTTGGCATTTTAAATTAATTAAAAACTAGTATTTAAAAAAATTATATGATTTTTATGTATTTTTTATTTAAATTTAATTAAAAAAATGAGGTGGAGTGGTGTTTTCAGTGATACGTATCTCATATGTTTAGTGAAGGTTAGTGGTGATGATATGACACCTACCATTATAATGGTTAGTGGTGAGTATAACGGATGACCTAATTGTGTCTCCGTTGTTATCCGTATCTTGTTGTTATCCGTATCTTGTAGTAATAACCAAGATAAAGTTCCAAACTTAAGGGAATAATGTTTAATCGTTAAAATTAATAACTAGGATCGAAAAATCATGGAAATATATATAAGAAAAAACAATTAAAAAGTTTTGTATTTATTTAGAAAGAGAAAATATTATTCTCGTCCTTTACTAACCCATTACTAATTTCTAGATGAATGGAATAACTGTACCTATTATAAATAATGACTTGGTTTTATGCTTCTTGTTAAAGGGACATGATACTCTTATTTGTTTTGTTATATGTTTTAATAAATTTTTGGGGCGAACACATTTTGTTGACAAATTTTTTTTTTTTTTCATAAAAACATATCTTATTAACATTCTTTTTAACGAATGAGTTACATGGTAAACATTTAAATCAGTTCTGGAAAAACTATAAATACATGTTATTTTGCTACAAATTAATTAGCATTCATATTTATTAGAGCCGCAGTTAGTATATATATGAGATTGAACCAACCACCTTATTATACAAATATGCTAGCCCAACTTGTAATTAATATCCATATAAAATTTCAATTTATATGTAATATATAAATATTAAAATATTTAAAAAATATATTTTTTTAACGACACGAGTAAGAGTGTAATCGAGCCGAGCTGAGTCAAGCACTGTCAAGCTCGAAACTCGACTCGACTAAAAAACTTGAGCTCGAAACTCGGCTCGAACTCGACTCAAGCCATAATTTCAAGCTCAAAGTCGAGCTCGATAAAGAAATTTAGTCTTTCGAGCTAGGCTCGACTCAATATAGCTCTTAAAAAATAAAATCACATCAAATTACAATAGGAATACAATGAAGCTCGTGAGCTCGACTCGGCTTGACTCTATAATATGTAAATATGAAGAAGACAAAGGGCAAAACTGTAAATATAACAATACTCGATTAGGCTCGCGAGTTTCATAAGCCGAGTATTTTTATACTCGAGCTTGGCTCGATAATCTACTCGAGTAGCTTGAGCTCGAGCTCGACTTGATTTAAACTAAGGTCGATTTCGAGTATTTTTCAAGTCAGTCCTGAGTATCTCACGAGTTGGCTCGGCTCAATTCCACCCTAGACACGAGATACATGTTAATAAGATATAATTAGAAAACTAGCAATACATATAAATTCCAATATATTATATGGATGCTAATTAACATCTAGAAAAAAAAATTGTTCCAAAATTTTGCATTTGTATAAAAGGAGAAGACAATATATAAACGGAAATGATGCAAAAAATGCTAAAGGGGGTAGGCGGGGGCATTTAAATGATGGGACGTGAGGTGTACCTTTCTCTCATTCTCTTTTGTGGTTGTGAATACATAGTGAAATTTTCCCCTCTCCTCCACCACCTTAAAACTTCATAAGAGTATCGTGTGATAAGCATATAGCTAGCTAGTACAAGCATTACTATCTACTGGTCGTGTAAATATGAGTTATGTAGGTGTTGGTGTGAGTCCTGGGAATGTTCCTGTATATCATGGAACCGATTTGAGGGCGGTTGAGCGGAAAGTGAGGCTTGCTGAGTTGATATTAAGGTCTGTTACTTGTGTTCTTGCTCTTGCTTCTGTTCTTCTTATTACTACAGATTCTCAGGTTCAAGACATCTTTACAATCAAGAAAAAAGCGAAATTTACAGACATGAAATCTCTTGTGTAAGTCAACTTTCACTTTTCTTGTTCAAATTTGTCATCTTTTCCCCGAAATCTGTTATATTTGGCTTTTATTTTCTCAGTATTGTTTTAATTTGGGTGTTGTTGTACTGGGTCAACAGTTGAAAACTTAGTCAATACTATTGTTATGGTATGAATTAAATATTTCGATTCTGGTTTGTTTCATAGGTTTTTGGTGGTGGTGAATGGGATGGCTGCAGCCTACTCATTGGTACAAGTATTGAGATGTGGTTTGAGTATGGTTAGGGGAAGTGTGCTCTTGAGCAAGACCTTGGCTTGGCTTATTTTATCTGGTGATCAGGTATACATCATATGTGTATGCTTCAATTCCATGCATGTGCATCATGTGAAATGCCATGTCTCATCACTCTCTGCATTGTAATGTACATCATAATTTAACACATGCCAGCTGAGGCATACTCACCTACCTACATTATGTATTCATTGTATTCACATGAAAGACATTAGTGATGGAGGTGTAGACCTATCTATTGGTGATATCTACCTCCGTTTGTGTATTAACTGTGCTCATTTATCATGCAATTTATTTCGTGTAGTTGATCTGACATATTCGCTGTCGGTCGTTCAATCGTTTCCTTGACCAACCAAAAAATAAAAGAAAAAGGAAATTATTCGATTTGTGGGTCCTCCGAAAATATACTTCTCATAAAATGACACGTTATGCTAAGGTTGCTAACGATCAAAAAAGAAATGCATGTTTTCTTATATAAGATGATTACATGTTGTTCGATCGCTAGCTATCACATTATTTGATCGGTTTGTCATCTGGGTTTTGCAGCTTTTGTCTTACATGATGTTAGCAGCACTAGGAGCCGCATTACAATCATCGATATTTGCTAAATTTTCAGAACCTGAGCTAGAATGGATGAAGCTCTGCGATATGTATGGGAAATTTTGTAAACAAAGTGGAGAAGGAATAGCGAGCTCTGTGGTTGCTTGTTTGAGCATGGTGATCGTTTCTGGTTTATCTGCTTTTGGCCTCTTCCGGTTGTATGGTGGAAATAAAGGAACCAAAATTAGTGCAGGGTGGTAACAACCTTTAGCTTTCATATCCGGTGTACTAGGGTTTAGCCGCTTTGAGACTAGTATGGTGTATAGCCTATCATTTCAGTTCGGTAAGGGGGTTTAGCCTCTGCCTCCATTTACAAACATATATTTGCAATATATTTCTAAGCCTACCTCATGCTTTAAGCTTATAATAGAAATTAGTATAAAGAGGTTTGTTGTGGTAAATTGACTTCATGTATGCAGGGTCTAAAGCATGATAATCTTGACGTTGAACGTCACAATTAACTAATTGACCAAAACTTTTCTATGCAATATTCGAATTGAAAAAAGTGAGCACTGTGTTAAAAATGTAAATTTTCTGCTAATGAAACAGTTGTCCAATACCCTTTTTTTGTAAAAAAAGCACCAATAAATTTCAGCATATCTAAAACGAAGGAAAACAAGGGGACTAAAAAATATTACAAAAAGTCATTGATTAATGTAAATTTGAACATGAGAAATATGATCTTAATATCAAATGATATGACAGTATACGACCTGTATGTAGAAAGCATATTGACCGAGGCATTTGTAAGTTTCCTTTCGAAAAAAAGAATTTTCATATTTTATTGTATGTTTGTCTCCAAAAGATACAATGAACGAAACTGTTTTTAAATGACCGGTCGTACTAATTAAAAAATGCTTGAAATTGACCCCATATTCAGCACCGGAATCTTTAAATCATAGTACTGTTGAGCAATTTACAACTCATCATCATAGTATTGTTGTTTGTTGTCTAGAAAACGTGTGTAGTGTCTTCTTTTAGTTTTGTATTTTTCCACTTAGAGTATAAATTCTATTATATACTCAAGATATTTTTTATAACCATAATGGATATAAATCAATATAATAATAGTATTATAATTACAACAGATATAAATTCATATACTAGAGCCTTTTAGTTTTAGACATTAAGGAAGTCGAAAACCATGCCTCACTAAACAATTTCGAGCAAAAAAATCGACTTGCATTTTTGTCATCGTTTTTGTGTGGTATTCGTGTACACAACTAGCGATAGTTTATATGCATGTTTATTTGATTCAAACATTTCCCCAATGCACCACACATAAAGTGGTTCACACTTCCATTCTCTTCCTATAAATGAAAGACAAAACCTTCAACTTTCCCAACATATGTAACAAACACAATACTTTGATGGCCAATATCTCATTAATACAAATTCTATTTTGAACATATAAAATATCAAAAACAAAGCTATAGGAGTACATAAAACCATATTCTTTTTACAAATTAGAGCCAGAAACCAACTTTGTTTTCAAGTCCAAAGTGGGCTGACAATCCACTTTTCCGAACAATCCCCTATATGAACGAATATTAATCAAGACACTACAAAAGTACAAATATATGTTGCAATAGTTCAACCATGTATAGGATCGGTAGGTGTTAGTCTTTGAACCTTCCTTTGAGAGATACATTTCTTTGACTAGCTAACTAGTAGACTTGATGTCTTTCTATTTTGAAGTTAGTGTAAATGTTCAACAACATTCACATGTCATTGTTATTGATGTATTAAGTACTTAGTTGTGTGTATATTATGCTAATGGACACTTGTATGTTTCAACTAGATCTTGTAGGATTTAGCCCCTCAAATTTCCTTTGAAATATACCAACTTCCTCCTACATAGACGATTCTAGTAGTCATTAAAAAGTAATACACGATGATATTTTCAAATAATCACCGATGGTTATAATCTTAATTTGCGTTAACATCTTTAACATGAATGTGTTGATGTGTTTTTAGAAACGACTATAAATTTATTAGAATACTCACTAGCCAGGGGCTAAGATCACAATAAACACTGCAAAGGGAGTAAAGCATTGGTCGGGCACATTAACCAAAACAACTAGTCCAATTTATGAGCCTATACCTAGCGTTAACCCAATTATACACCATTAATCTAATATCATCAAAAATACAATCATTACTCCTTTTATGGCCTTTGAAAATAGCCTCATTTCTTTTTTTCCATACTTTCGCAAGCAAAGCAGCAATCACCACATCTAATGCATGTTTGGAAACATTGGAGATCTTTAAATTGTTCACAAATGCATCTAGTTTTTTGAAAGAACTTATCCATGTCAAATTTTGTTCCTACCATGTTCCAAGTTTACGCCATATAGGGGTTATAAAGTTGCATTTAAAGAATAAATGCTCAAAATCTTCAACATGTATATAACAAAGCGAGCATAATAAATCATCCAAATCCAACCCCTCTTGTCGAGGTTAACCTTAGTTGGAATCTTATTCCTTTCGATTCTCCACCTTAAAATATTTACTCCCCCCAGGGCCCATTTCAACCACTTAGTTTCATCACCGGCGTTATATTGGAAAATAAAAGTCAACAAGTCAACCATTAGAGAAGTGACACGTCATTTGATTGTTAGAATCGTAATTAGTACGCATTGTTTTTCTGTTCAGTATATATTGATGTATTGTATTATTATTCAATAACAATGAAAACACATCTCTCAATTTTCTCTCTCAATCAATTCATTTCTCATCTTTCCACATGGTATCAGAGAGGAAGTTCCTGATTTCATTCTTGTTGATTTCAATCTTGTTGTTTCTTATTCACTTCATTTGATCTCTGTTTTTCAAATCATGTCAAGTTCTACTCAAAATCAAGCAAACGGATCCAATGGATCTAACATTGAAATTTCAAGCCCTTATTATCTTGGATCTTCGGACAATCCAAGCACGATTCTGGTGTCAAAACTCTTCGATGGAACAGGATTTGCAGCCTGGAAGAGATCGATGACATTAGCTCTTTCAGCAAAGAACAAACTCTGTTTTGTCGATGGTTCTATGAATCCTCCTGCTGCAAGTTCAGATCTCATTCACGCATGGAATAGAGTTAATTCAATGGTCATCTCCTGGATCTTGAATTCTTTAAACAAAGAAATTGTTGAAAGTGTATTGTCCAGACAGCAAAGGAAATCTGGTTTGAACTAAGAGAAAGGTATTCTCAATCTAATGGCACTTTGATCTATCAAGTTCAAAAGAAATTATACTCTATTAATCAAGGATCTGAGGATTTTTCTAGCTATTTCACAAAAATAAAAAAGATATGGGATGAATTAAAGATGATTCAAGAAGTTCCTGCATGTACATGTGAATCGGCTGCTCTTTTTAACAAATTTATGGAAGAACAACGTTTAATTCAGTTACTGATGGGATTAAACGATTCATATAAAGCTATAAGAGGACAGATCTTAATGATGAATCCATTACCTAACATTTCCACTGTTCATTCATTGTTAATTCATGAAGAAAGGCAGAGAGATATTTCTTCAAATCCAAATGTTGTTACTGAGGCCATGGCAATGCAAGTTAATCAATCATCAAAAAGGAATCTTAACTGTTCTCACTGCAAGAAGTCAGGGCATGTGAAGTCAACATGTTACAGACTCAATGGTTTTCCAGCCGATTTGAAGTTCACAAAGTCAAAGAAGATGGATTCAATGGCAAATAATGTTGTTGATAATTCTCAATCTATATCACCTGAGCAGTACAAGCAATTGATGCAACTTCTGAACAATAACAGTGGATCAACTCAAATCAACTCTGTGATTACTGATGGATCAATGGACACTGCAGGTAACTATACTGATTCTTCAGGAAATCATATATCATACATCTTTAATGTTGTTTTTGGTTCAAATGGTGAAAAATCGTCATGGATCATTGATTCGGGGGCAACAGATCATATTTGTTCAGACAAAACCTTATTTTCTTCATTAATGAATTTTCCATAGCCTCATTCCATATCTTTGCCAAATGGTCAAACACTACCAGTTTTTCAAATTGGAGATGTTCCAATCCACAATACCATCAATCTCCGTGATGTTCTATATGTTCCAGAGTTCAGACATAATCTCATATCTATTGCCAAAATCACCAAACAGTTAAAGCTTTGGATAATCTTTACTGATGATTTTTGTGCAATGCAGGCCCCTTTATCGAAGGATAGCTTCATTATAGGGAAAAGAGTGAACAATATGTATATTCATGGCAACAAGTACTTGAAGACTCCTACATTTATTAATGTCAATCAGATAGTTTCATGCAAAAAGAATGATGTAACTCTGTGGCATAATAGATTAGGTCATTTACCATTTCAAAAACTGAGATTGTTATCTCTTACAAATAAGGAATGTACGAATGACTTGTTCAATTCATGTACTGTTTGTTATCAAGCAAGACAACACAAACTATCTTTTTCATTGAGTGAGACTGTATCACAACAACCATTTGATCTGGTTCATATAGATATATGGGGACCATACAAGGTTCCAACTCACAATGGATTTCGGTATTTTTTGACCATTGTTGATGATCACAGTAGATGTACTTGGATACATTTATTAAAACATAAAGGTAGTGCATTCACAACTATTCAAGCATTTATCAAGTATGTTCAAACTCAATTTCAAGTCACTGTAAAGAATATTCGTACTGATAACGCATTTGAACTTGGATCTAGTCATGAGGGCATTTCATTTTTTCAATCTCTTGGTATATTTCATCAAAAATCTTGTCCATACACACCCCAACAAAATGGGGTGGTTGAACGAAAGCATAAACATCTGTTGGAGGTATCACGTGCATTATTTTTCCAATCTGGGCTAGGAAAATGTTATTGGGGAGAATGTGTATTGACTGCTGCTCACATCATAAATCGTACCCCTTCAAGAGTGTTGAATCACAGTTCTCCTTATTGATGAACCAATGAATCGAGTATTGAATTAATCACAGTATGAATTCAAGTAAGAATGCAAGATTGAACACCGGATGTAAATATGATCTTGTTTCAGCTTGATTTACGCTTTCGAATGTTTATAGAGAAAATAGACAGGTCTGTAAAAACTCTTATCTAACTCTAGTAAAATATCCCTATTTATAGGGAACAGAAAGCGTACAAAAAATATACTAAGGCCTAGACACTTAAGCTTAGAATGAAAGCACCCTAGTAAAATATATTACAAAATATTCGAAGAGTTCAAAATACATTTCGACTAATTATAACAATTCGACCCTTACAATCTCCCCCTTTGTAATCATAATCGAAGTCTTCAATTCGTAAGAAGTGTGATAGAATACAGTAGCACTCTTCGAATCTCCGTGTACCAGGAGATAATCTTCTTCAGCTCTTTCTTATCTCCTTCATTGTTTTTCTTGCAATGATTCATACGAACAATCAAGTTCGTATATTGAGATGTTGAA